ACTGCTTTGCATTTTTTAATAAAAGATTTGTCACATGAAGTCAGAGAAGATAGTACTTCATAGAATTACCAAAAAAGAAATGATCTGTTATCAAGCAATATAAATATAAAATAATTTAAAGTATAGTTTATTATCTAGGGACACAGATTGCCCAAGAACTTCAGTCTTTCAAAACTCTGATCCCTCGTAGAAAGGAAAAAAAAAGTACACAATGTAGAACTAATCACCTATAAATAAGTAGTTATAATTAAATAAGTAGTTACAATCACCTATAAATTAAGTGATAGTTAAATACCATAGAAACATACTAGCACCCTCTTCCAGAAGATGTCTAATACTAAAAAGTGAAAATTGAATAAACAAATAAACTATTCAAAAATTGAATAAACAAATAAACTATTCACGACACAGAGTAATGAATGCATTGTTCAAAAAAATCTGAATATTTATAACCAAAATAAAACATAGTCTAAAAAACCAGTAATGTTTATATCATTACAAAAATGCTTGCAAATACTTTCTTGCATATTTTGTTTTTCTTTTTTTCTTTTTTTTTTTTTTTTTTTTTTTTTTTTTTTTTTGAAGTGAGCTCACTCTGTCCCCCAGGCTGAAGTGCAGTGGCCTCGACCTCGGCTCACTGCAGCTCCGCCTCCCGGTTAGCGCCATTCTCCTGCCTCAGCCCCGAGCAGCTGGGACTACAGGCACTACCACTGCGCCGGCTAATTTTTTTGTATTTTAGTAGAGACGGGGTTTCACCGCAGCAGCCAGGATGGTCTCGATCTCCTGACCTCGTGATCCGCCCGCCTCGGCCTCCCAAAGTGCAGGGATTACAGGCGTGAGCCACCGCGCCCGGCTCATATTTTGTTTTTCAAACATAACACCAAGGTCGATGCACATCACAATAACAAACTGAATTAAAATTGCATAAAAATTGAGAAATGGCCTGATCACAAATTTTAACTTTAATATTGACACCCTAATTTAGAAGCTGTATTTTCCTGTGTTAATGGGCCCTGGCACCAATAGAGTCATTCAACCTTATAATTCTGCTTCAGAACTCTGTTTCACAGTCTTCCTATTTCTCAATTAGTATTCACTTTAATAGAAAATATTCAACAAATAGTTAACACTGTACATTTTATGTACTATTTCTGAAAAAGTTAAATACTTTTGGATTAAGGATATAGACAAACATCACATCAGATGACGTTGCTAGAAAATAAAGACTATTTCATGTTAACAAAACGTGTCCTTTTATAAGACACAACAATGTCCAATAAAATGAAAATAAGATTTTAAAAAACAGGAGGTAAAAGAATCATAATCAGCAACTGTGTAGAAGGAAAATAGGATTATATTTATTGGCTACTATATCAACTTAACTTCTCATAAAATCCTCCTGATCTATTAAATAACTTCAGAACTGAAGTATGCTCTCCTATGGGAGTTGTAAAACAAATTAGATACAATTACAATTCAATACAAATGAGAAACCAATCTATTTACCCTTAAGATTTCTCTCATTTTATAGCTTTATCACTTAAATTAGATCAGAATTTTCCCTAATGTATCAAGTGGGCCTCTTGACAAAATTATAAATTTTTCTCGAATGCTTTCTATAGAGAAAAATAGTTGATATGAGTAAATTCTGGAAAACTGTGGTAACTACACCTCCCCAAAGTGAATACAACAAACATCTGCTGCAAGAATTGCTTGGCTTTCAGACAGTATGTAAAGGGTGTTCTTTTTCCTAGTGTTTTGTTGTTTTTTTTTTTAAGCTTGTTTAAAAATACATGTTTTCACTATCAGCTCTCAAGTCATAAAATCTTAAAATTCTGGTAAGTTAAACACAGGTCATTACCAGGTATATTACAGAAAGAAAAAATACGTAATGTACAAGACTCCACTTGCTTCTGAAAGGGCAAGAAAATAATTGGGCATGTTGCCCTCTGTCTGTGGGTTATATAGTAATGTTAACTATTGTCTTCATTTCTTAACTCAGTGCTCCACACATAGCAAAACTCATACTAAGGGAGGGGACTACATATATAACTTCCTTATGATTTTTATTCTCTTTGGAGATAATTCGACTTTCTCTGTTGAATTTCACTGCCTTCTCCCCACTTCTGAAGTCAACAGTATCCTGATATGCTCATCAAGCAATAGTGTGTTTGTAAAGATTCACTCCAGGGACAGGATAAATTATTGCACATTTTCTGCATTAAACATAAAATGTAATAATTTCAATGGAGTGAGAAGAAGAATCAATAGCCTTTATGACTGATTATCTTTTCTAACTGAATCAGAGTTTAGTGCTTTTTGGTAAGTTGAATGCATCTTCCTTGATTCTGAGAAATCAGTATTTTGCCTAAAATTCACAAGTATTTTGCAGAGTAAAACATCATCTTTTCAGCATTGGGAAATTCCATAAAACATACACAAATTAGCAGGTGCAAATGAATAAAAATGCTTATCAGCAATAGGGCCCAGGATGTGCAACACCTTTATGAAAGAGAGAATAAAAAGACAACCATTATCTAAATATATTTCTAGTAACACGTGACTTTGCTCACTTTTCAATCTTTCACTGCCTCTTCTATAATGCCAATGCCTGCTCCCAACCACTTTAAAGTTATTGTTTACAAAATGTTTAGGATTCAGTTCCACAACTCCATTTTTATGCTAACAATAAGGTATTGATTTAATTCTTAAAACATTCCTGAGAGCACTTCAACAAGGCATTTTAATACACTACACAGAGAAACTTCTTTGTCATCAAGAAACGGGAAAAACCTAGGACGTATCCCTTTCTTTTTAGGCCAGACCCAAAGTAAGTATAACCATGTCACTGTGCTTCCATAAACTTCAAGACCTATAATGGAATTTGCCCATGTATCCCATTAAAGCAGTCTAAAGTGTAGAAATGCACCTGTTTGGTATATGTTTATTTAATCATGGGAAAAAATGCTTTACTTAAAGCAGTCCCCATATTTGTATTATGCAAATTCCATTACAAGCAAAAGTTTTGAGAAAAGTAAATTTAAAATGGATACAAATAAAAAGGAAACTCAAAGTCACATATGCTCCAGTATACACAAGTTTAGAATCATTTTCAGACCATATCTATGACAACACTACGTTTATAGCTATCAGTCTTACTGAAAGATGAATTACAAAAAGAGGGAAAAAGATATTTGCTCTTCACCTAGGAAAGATAGCCAGCCAACATACACAAGGAATACTCAGAAGTAATTAATTGCTAAAAGTTTCCTTTATTCAATGTGATCATCTTTCATTCCTATGGAGGGTAACCATAAGTCATATGTTAGGTTTAAAGATACATTAGTTTCAATTATATGATGTCTAAGGAAAACAGATAAACTGGTTCATAACTTTGCAAGCAAAAAGAAAATCTTTTTTCAGATGTTGCAAATAACTTGAATAAAGTTATCTGAAGTTAAACTTGTATCTATGTTTTATCAATATGTATATGAATTATGTATATATTACACACACACATTATACTGTCTACATGTAGTAGTGCACACATACATATTACCAGATTTTTCAGAATGAATAGCGGAATAACGATGCATCCTCAGCAAACAACCTTATAATAATAAACTACCCATCATAACATACTGTTACATCTACTCTATAGGTAGAAAAACTGATGCTGAGAAGTTAAAAAATTTACTAAAGGTCTTAAAAGCACATTAGGAGACACCATCATTATAATGCTGAAGATCTTCACATTCATGACTTTCTGAATAGATTTTCATTGCTATTTTTTATTTAATTACTTAATATTATCTATAAGGTATTTTGCAAACTCTATTCTTTAAAAGATGCTACGTACTTAATGCTGAATGAGGCAACTAAAGTGAGACACAAGCTCTGTCTGTTGAATAATAGGTCCTTGCCTTTTTTTTTTTTTATTATGCTTCTAAAATTTGAATGAAAACTCTATTTACTTGGTTTATATGGTTCTTCTACTTAAGTGTTTAAACTTCAAAGTAAATTATCCGAATTAATCCTATTAACTTATCATAATAAACTGCATTATTCTCATTTTATAGGTGAGAAGCCAGGCACAGGAATAAGGCTATCTGCCGTGGGTCACACGCTAAGTGTGAGGGAGGTCTGGAGTTAGAACATGTTATGTTCTTGGCTGAAGGGCAAGATTGTTCGTATTAATCATCTTATTCCAAAATCACTTGAGGAAGCACGCAATTTTCTGAAGCAGAGGGGAAAACATATCCTGAAAGTTACAAGTGTAAAGGAATACATCAAGAGTTTTGATTTCACTGTACTTACATTATAATTCACTACAATTTAAGTTTTAAAAACTACTCACATATCTCATTACTTTAGTACCATGAATCAGAGGCTCTGTTGACTGAGACACTATTTGCCCACAATTAGTCTCATGCTTTTATAGGAGAAATACAAGCTAAGAAATAAAATTAAATGAGGAAGATAAACATTTGTTCCATGTTGAAATGTATTTGATGGCATGGAATTTGCAAGACAAGACATCAATTTTCAGCCTAGCAGATTACAGAATAGGATCCATGACTCCTAGTCAACGTTGAACACTTCAGAGGAACAAGAACATGACATCTGAGGGCAAGTAATGCATGGGAATGCTCATGATGTGTTCCTAGAAAAGCTGAAGAAGAGAATGAACTAAGTCCACAGGTTACAACAACAGTAAATAACCAGGCCTTTAGCCTCTCAGAATAGATGAAAAATATAACCAGAAACATCTTCTAACCATTGCTAAATAGCTAGAAAACTGTGCTCTCCAAGTAGGGTTAGGTATGTAAACAAATGCTAACAGATTGATACAGGCTTTCTGCTTCCTACGAAAACTAAGGTTTCACGTTGAAAACAGCATAACCAGCACATTCCTAATTAGATGCATTTTTCCAGGTTGCAATGTGGCAGCAAAAGTACAAGTAAGGAAGACGAAGAGTTGTCATATTAATGAGACATACCTCTTGTACTGAGCGAGCTGCTGGCTTGTCTTGATGATTGGCCAATATTAAAAAGGGTAAAGTGCATAACTGTGGATGCTGAAGAGCTGAGTGCAGCTCATTTCTAGCAGCTTCTAAATCATCCTCTGAAGAGGCACTGTCTAATACAAATATTACCCCTTGAGATCCTTGGTAGTAGCGGCTCCAGTATTTCCGGATATTATCAGCCCCTGTCAAAAACAAAACAAATTTTCGTTTTAAAAAGAGCTTTCAGCAACTCAAAAACATTCCCAACAGTAATTTCTACTAGAAACCAATGTATCTTTTAAAAATTAAGTGCTAAACTCTGTGGTATGGATTAAAACAGGAATTTAGAAAAGTCAGAGATCACAGTGGATAGGAACAAAGAAGGCAGTAGAGCCAATAGGCAGATTTGGCCTTGAACGAAGACACAGTATCTAAGCCATTCTTAATGACTTTTATATAAAAATATGTGTGACAGAACCAGGATAAAACCTCCTAGACTTAAACTCAAAAAAAAAAAAAAAAAAAAAAATTCAGACTTTAATAGTCTCGAATGAACTGTACTCTCTACAAATTGAGACTGAATCTGACCCAGAGAGCTGCATGACCTAGACATCCAACAAGGCTTCTTTCCAAACCATTAACATTACCTTGGTGATATTTTTTAACAGAACTGCTTGCTGATCAGGACAGCCTTGTTTAATTTCACCTAGAGAGCTATTAGCACAATAGCTCTATGTGTCAAAGTGCTAAAGGTTGTGAAAAACTAAAATCATGGCCTTTGATACATTTGTATGAATCTGGCTTCATAACTCATGAGGAAAAATAACAGATGACAAGAGTGCACTTATGGTCTCAATACGATAAGATGTTTATTTAAAAATATATATATATATATGGAGAGGCCGGGTGTGGTGGTTCACACCTGTAATCTCAGCACTTTGGGAGGCTGAGGCAGGTGAATCACCTGAGGTAAGAAGTTCAAGACCAGCCTGGCCAACGTGGTGAAATCCCTTCTCTCTTAAAAATATAAAAGTTAGCTGGGCGTGGCCTTGGGCACCTGTAATCCCAGCTACTTGGGAGGCTAAGGCTGAGGCAGGAGAATCACTTGAACCTGGGAGGTGGAGGCTGCAGTGAGCCAAGATCGTGCCACTGCACTTGAGCCTGGGCAACACAGTGAGGCACCATCTCAAGAAAAAAATAAAAAAAATTAAAAAAAAAACATGGAGAATCTCGTCTGCCAAGGCATATCGTATATTATTCCTCTTTGTATTTCCATTATATAGCACAACACCTAACTCAAACTTCAGTACTGGAATGATGAAAATTGAGGGAAAGAGGGAGTAAAAGTATATACTAATTAAGCTTTACAAATCTGAGACTAGAACAAACTCTAGAGATTATTTAGTCCAACTCTCTGAGGAAACTGAAGCAGAGAGAGGTAAAGTAAGTGATCCCTTGTCATGTACCTAATAAATCACAAAATTGGGATTTGCATGAGTTGGTAGACAATCTGCCCAGGGAAGGCACAGGCACTTCCCATTACATCACGGTGACTGCTTTCATTACTTTCATTCAATAATAGGAGGGGCAATATGTGTGCATGTGTAGAAAAGGGGTGCTACTGGTTACATAACGACAATTAGATTTCACGGAATTTCACCAATTTATTGCATATGATCAAGTCCTAACCAGTTAATAACTGTATTTCAGTCATCCACTGAACATCTAGCTCCTATGTTTGACATACTATGTTATGTGTTAGGGAAACAGTGGGGACTGGAGTTGGTGTGGCCTGGCTGGCAAGGGTCACCTGTTTGCTTCTCTTCCCAACTCTGTGCTCAGTGACATCCTGTTGGTAGCTTGAAATCAATCAGGGTGAAAGTACTGTCACTATGGAAATCAGCAAATCCTACATATCAAGTCTGTTCCTCTCCCAGAGAGCTAACACACCACTGATGACACTGAGCAGCTTATATTTTCTGGGAGAAATAGAAAAGAAAACTCTAAGATTATAATAGAGTACAATGAAGTGCTGTCATAGAGGCACTCATTAGGTCTTCTGGGAGCAAGAGATAGGCATTTCACCCAAAATGGAGCAATTCTTTTTTAATTTCATTTTTTAAATTTGAGATGGGTTCTCACTATGTTGCCTAGGCTGGACTCAAGACTCAAGTGATTCTCCTGCATCAGCCTCTTGGGTAGCTGGGACTAAAGGCACACCCCATGGTGCCCAGAGGGGCAAATGTCTTGAAAGAATAATATCAGTAGCCAAACAGCTCCCATTTATTAAGCACTTCCTATCTTCCAGGTACTAAGTGTTTTAAAAAGAAAAACTCATACAATTCTTACAACAATCTAAGGAGGGAAGTATAATTGACTAAGGCTTTGAAACCAATTTTCAGGTACTAAAATCTGTGATTTCACCATTATACTACACAAAAATAACTAGGTATGTATTTAATAAGAGGATCAAGGACATTTGATGTTGAGCAACGTTAAATATGTGAAGACATGGGATATGAGCAGGGTTGATGCATATCAAGCAGGGTCCAACTAAGAAAACAAAACAAAAATAAAGAGGGAATGTAAGCCAGAGATCATTTAGTGTAGGGAATTAGTGGCTTAGGTGGTGGTGGAACTAAGAAAACAGCAGGGGTACTGAGATAAGCAACATCTTAGGTCAGGTTCCCTAGACACAGAGCCTGAGATGGCATTTCTTGTACACCTGATTTAGAGGGAGTGCTGTCAGGAGAAACTAGAAGTGAAAGAAGTAGGCTAGAATGGGAGAAGAAGCTAGGCAAAGACATTGTTTCAGAAATCTAGCCTCAGCTTGATGCGATGAGGAACTCTACAGCAAGGATTGAACCACAGAAGTTGTCTAGTCCAAAGGCAAGGGGGCTGGGCTATTACACCCTTGTATAGTCATTAGCCACCCCTGGGGAACAGGAGGGGGATGGGGCATGATCTTATAATCTCCCAAACACATTTGGTTGGGGCAATTATTGTCAGCCAAGGGCAGGCCTCTGGAGAAGGGTACAGGTGTGAGTCATTACCAGCCAATACTCGCAGCAGCTGGGAGATGGATGCACTGGCCCAGTAAAGGAGATCTGGGTAGGAAACCAATAGCATCTGGTACAGGCTACATCCAGACACTACCCATATGCTCGAGAACCATCCATAAGCTGGAGGGACAAAACTGGAGGCAGTGTTACCCGCTGGTAAGTGTTTAGAACAACAAAAATAGTGTGTATGTGTATCTGTACACAAGCTTGTTATAAATTTCACTAACACAAAGGATGTGCAGCACACAGTTTTCATAATAAGAATCAATGCAGCATGCTTTATTGTAAATTCCACATAGCCAACTAATACCCACAGAATGCTTTATTGAGTTTGCATCCATAGCCAACTAATGGCTGCAATTGACCAACTAGTGTAGTTCTGACATGAATGGTGGCTGCTCAAAGTGCTTTATGTATATTAAATCACTTACCCATGACAGTCTAATGACTCTCATGAGGTAAATACTGTTATCAATCTCCTTTTATCAACAAGGAAACCGAAACACAAAAAGATTATGTAACTTGTCCAAGGTTACACACCTAATAAATACATTTAGGTCTAATGTGCTCGAAATAGAGGTCATGGACTAAAAAGGCAATGAGGCTAAATAAAGAACTATATTACCACATAAGCTAGGAGAAAAGAAATGGAACTCTATTGGAACAAAAGGTAAGTAAATGCCTACATACATTAATGGAAATATGTCCAAAAACATTTCCCAACTGGTTAATTCAATGGATAGTTATTAAGTACCTATTCCATCCATACAAGTCTCTGAGCTAGGACCTAAAGAGATATTTAGAAAGCCATTATTCCTCTTAACTGAAACTATCAAATCCTGTAAAGTAACACAAATTACAATGAGGCCTGCAAATACAGCAGGCAGAGCAAATATGTCCACACATTAGATGGTGTCCAGTGAGTCAGATATAAAGAGAATTTGGTTGCATGTTTTAATAGAGCTTGTCCTTTGGAAACACAGGACACCTGGAAATTCAACTTCTGCAGTCAACTCTTTCAGTGAGAAACTATGTTTTCATTTGCCACATTTATGAGTACATATGGTACCTGAAAATAGTGAGACATACACAAACACACACACACACAAACGCAAAGAGAAATACCATAACTTTAAAAAATGTCCCTTATATGACATAATGTATGAATAATATATTAATAGTGAAAAGGCCCTTTTCTTTAATCTCCTGCCCAGTCTCGTGCCCAGTCTTAGCATTCCTTTCATCATCAACACAACTTGGAATTCTAAATTCCCATTTTGCCTTCTGCACATGGCTTTGGTCAGCAGCAACCTAACCCATACTGAGACCAGGGCACTTCACCAGCAACGAGGTGAAGAGTGGTATGCAGTTATTCAGTCCGCTTAGTGGGCCATGGTTTAGTCACCAGATTAAAATAAAAATTGGCTGTGTCATCAACCCAGCTGCCAGGTGTTTTGAGGAGTGAGCCTAACTGGGAAGGTTAGGGACACCTGTCTGATGCCCACATTCTCAATCCCCAAACCAAATCCAAAAGAAGTAACAAACACAGGAAGTGACGTCTTACAGCAGGTTAGGGCCACTCTTAGTTTAATGACTGAAAATGCCATGCTCTGTGTCACTTAAATTACAATTGCAACATAACATGGTTTAAGAGCAAACTCAAACCTCGTCTACGGTTTGTACAGTTAGATTAAAAAGCAAAGGGGTTAGTCCTAACAGTAGTGGGGCTGGGTGAGGGTGGTGCCAAATGTCCTAATTATACATCCAATGTTGCCTCACTAAAAGTTGGAATAAACACTTGGGAATCTAAGCTCATCAGGAGGGCCAACCAGGAGAGTCTGGCTCAGGGTACCACAATAAGAGTAGAGGGAGAACACAGGAGCATAACAAGTCCTCATTGTGTAAATTCATTTCTGTGGGACACTATAGATGTTAACAACATCCTCTCATTATTCATTAATACATCCATCCAACAGATATTTACTGAGCACCTGGCACCATTCTAGGTGCTGAGGAAACAGCAGGAAACAAAACAGACAAAAATTTCAGTCTTTATACTGCTCACAGCGAAGCCAGCCTATCATCATAGAGGTTAAAAATCCCAAGTACTCATCTGGCCAACTGAGACCTAACAAAGGTCT